GGTTGGAACCTGGCCAGGGCCTGCTAAACAACAAAAAATAGCCAGGCATGGTGGCAGGTGCCTGTAGTCCCAGCTACTTAGGAGGCTGAGGCAAGAGAATTGCTTAAGCCCCAAAATTTGAGGTTGCTGTGAGCTGTGACACCACAGCTACCAAGGGTGACACAGTGAGACTCTGTCTTAAAAAAAATAAATAAAAATAGAAAAAACTAGCTGGTTTTTCCTGGTGGTGGGTGCCTATGATACCAGCTACTCAGGAGGCCAAGGCAAGAGGATTGCTCAAGCCCAAGAATTTGAGGTTGCTGTAAGCTATGACACCATGGCACTATACCCAGGGTAACAGAGTGAGACTCTGTCTTAAAAAAAAAACGGGTATCTGATTATAAAGGAGCATGTAGGGAGATTCTGGGGAGTGGCAATGTTTTCTTGTGGTGTGATGCTCCTGGGGGTGCCCTATATATTATGTGCCAAAATATAAATCTATATATTATATACTTTCTGCACATCCGGTTATTTCATTATTAAAAATGCCAACAGAAAAGTCAAGGCTAAGGCCAAGGTCTTTAGACATGCAGATCATGGCTTCTTAAACTTTGATAATAGAAGTCAGAACACTGGTTCTTCTCTGTAGTATCAGAGAAGACAGGATACAAGCAAGGCTGTTGTGATGATGAAGATTGCTTAATGGAGGTGGTGGTCACGCATGTCTGTACATAGGTAGAGCGGCACCAAGTTGTACATTTAAGATTTGTGGACCTGTGATGTGTAAGTCATACCTCAACCAAAAGAAAACAGTTTTAAGAATGACATATAATTAAATGATATCATGTCTGGGATTTACATTAAAATAACATAGGAAGTGAGGAAGTGGGGGAGGCATAGATGAAACACTAATTGACCATGAATTGGCACTTACTTATTAAATGGATACATAAATGTTTATTATACTCTTCTGTTCATTTCTATATGTTCTTTTGAGGGGGGTAAGGTCTTGCTCTGTCACCTGGGTTAGAGTGCAGTGGCATCGCCATTAGCTTACTGCAACCTGGAACTCCAGGATTCAAGCCATCCTCCTGCCTCAGCCTCCCGAATAGCTGGGACTACAGACATGCACCACCACACCTAGCTAATTTTTCTATCTTTTGTATAGATAAGATCTTGCTCTTGCTCAGGCTGGTCTCAAACGCCTGACATCAAGCAATCCTCCCAGCCTCTCAGAGTGATAGGATTACAGGCATGAGCTACCACTCCTGGCCTACTTCTATATGTTCAAAGTTCTCCAAAATAAATAAATAACATGGTATTTATTAAATGATATGACAATTAAGTTTGCAAACTTGCCAACGCACACTTACGTTGGCAGCACTGTACAAACAACCTGGTAAGGTTTCTTAACCCTGGTAGATAAGTGTCTCACAGCTGTGTTTGTGTTGATGTGTGGTGGTGTCTTGATGAGTGGCATTCATTATTGTTGTTGAGTGTTTTT